GTGGAATAGATGTGTTTTCAAAAATATTTTTAATAACATTAGCGAGGTTGAAAATAAGGTCTGTGACTTGGTTTGGCCTTTATTTGAGTGATCATAACAATGATTTACTGCTTCCTCTTAAAAAAGCTATAAATCATCCCTTTCAATTGCTTGAGAAAGACGAATATTTCTAGTGGAAAAAAGAGGCTTCTAGTTTTATTTTGGAGGGTGAAAAGAATACTATGTTATATCATGCGATCGTGAATAAAAAATTGTTATGAATCATATTCAAATAATTGTTGATTTCGAAGGTATCTCTTATGATTATGAACAATTGATTTGAAATTATGGGATTGAGTACTTTAAGGATATTTTTAATAATAATGTCACTACTATTTCTATCTCTAACCCCTATATTATTCCCAACATTAAAAGTGAGGATGATAATCATTTACTTACTCAATGACCCTCTAAATTTGAGATTTGGGATGATGTTAGTGGAATAAATGGGGATTCCATTAAGGGTCCTGATGGGTTTACTTCTAAATTCTTTAAAAAAATCTTGAGATATTATAAAGAAGGATATGATGGAGGTTATGAAGGATTTTTTTGATGGGACTCCTTATCCTAATTTTTCCTGTTCTAGAACTATTTTAATTCCTAAAAAAGAGGCTTCTAAGCATTGGGTTGATCAGCCTTTGCACTTTTCTTAACAAATTAAAATCTAAAATCTTTATGGGGATGTTGCTTACCATTCTCCTTAGAATTATTTCTCCAACTAAAATTAGTTTTATGAAAGGTCGTAGTATTTTTGACAATGTTCTTTTGGCTACAAGGATCATTCATGATTTGAATGTTAAAGTGAAGGGGGAAATATCATTTTTAGATTTGACATCACTAAAGCATATGATAATCTTAATATGAAGTTCCTTTATTATATTTTGGCTTTATTTGGTTTTAACTCTTCCTTCATTAGGCTTATTTAGAATAGCGTTGAAAATTGTTATTTTTTGTGATTATTAATGGGAAGAGTCATGGTTTTTTCAAGTCTTCTCTAGGCTTGAGACAAGGTGAACCCATTTCCTCTGCTAAGTTTATTTTTTTTGTTAAGTTTTTGCCTAGGGGATTTGAGGATCTTTATAACTGGTACCCCAACGTTTTTTATTGCACTTTAGGTGGTATTCCTATAACTCACCTTAGTTTTACTGATGATTTTATTATTTTCTTGAATGGGTCTCTTAACAACATCAACATTTTGCTTAATTTTCTTAGTTTTTTCCAAAACATTAGCTGCTAAAACTGTGAATCAATGTAGGATTAATGCTATTCAATTAAAATGTGGCTTTATTTCTAAATCTTTTCTATTAAATACTTATGGATCCCTCTTTTTAAAGGTAAGAAGAGGTCTCATTTATTTGATGATTTTTTTACTGCTATTCAAAGGAAGCTTACAGCCCGGGCTTTCAATTTACTTTCATTTGGTGGTAGGCTTGTTTTAATTAAAAGTGTTCTCAATTCTCTTCCTTTTTATATCTTCCATACTATTCAACCCACTACGACCATTTGTTTTAGAATGGAGAGAATTTTTAACAGATTTTTTCACGGCTCTAAGAACAATAGATATTGTATCCATTGGTCTTTATGGAATAAAAATATAGATATTTTTTATGAATGATGCTTGGGTTGCAAGTATATTGTGGATCTAACTCATTCTTTCTGTCTTAAATTATGGTTTTCTTTTAGTTCTATTAATAGTCTTTGGCTAATTTTATGAGGCAAAAGTATTGCAATACTTATATATCCTTATTCTTGCAATTATAAGTCTTTCAATTCTATGGTTTGGAAAAGACTTTGCTATATTAAGTGGGAGGCTGAGTAGCATATTCTGTGGGAGTATGGGTCAAGGTGATGTATTTTTTTGGTAAGATAATTGGATTGAGACTTATTCTATTGATAACTTTTTTAATACTTACACTCTTGAGCCTATTAAGGTTAAGAGTTTGTTTGATAATGATAATTGGACTGTTCATAAATTATCAGAGGTTATTCCTTCTAATTTAGTTGAGATTATCTTGATAATTCCTTTATAGTTGCATAGTAAGCTTCAAATTTTATTTAAGTTATCTTATACTAGTAAGTTTGTTCTAAATAAAGTTTGGAATAACTTTATGATTATTTATGATAAATCTACTATTTTTTTGGCTCTTTGGCACAAGATAATTCCTTTATCATATTCAATTTTTATGTGAGGAGTTATTCAAAACTTGCTACCTGTTAAAGATTTACTGATGAAAAAAGGTTTCTACTTGCTTTGAAATGCTTGTGTTGTTTTAATATTAAAACTATGATGCTATTTTTGTGAATAATGCAACTGCCATCAGAGTTTGGAGATGTTTTTTTTATTTGGTTGACAGGTAATTTTAACTATGGTAATCATATTGCGACTATTCTTCATTGTTGGTTAAATCCTATTAAGGGCATATTATGTGGTTCCTTTAGATGGAAAAAAATGATTCTAAGCTTAGAGAAATTAAAATGGACTTTAGGCATATTGTTTCCAAAGTAAAAGACAAATTTTGCAATTACACTCTACTAATCTGCTCATGGATAGAAACTTTAATAATTATGATGTCATTGCTCTAGATTTGGGTATTCCAACTAGTAACCCGCATATAGATAAGATTCAAAGGATTGTGAGGTGGATAAAGCCTTCTCTTCCTTTCTACAAAATAAATACTGACGGGTCTGTTAATTCTTGTGCAGCTAGTTCAGGTGGGATTATTCCTAACCATCTATGAAATGTCATTTGTGCTTTTGATGGTCCTTTAAATTATTATATATCTATTACTATCGAGCATATGGTTCTTTCTGACGGGCTTGATATGTTCCAAAGCTTAGATATTTTAAATCTTTGGCTTGAGGTGGATGTCATGCTCTTAATTCTTATCTTGAATGGCAATGTTGTTGGAAGTTTAGATAATTTTTTATCTTCCTGATATTTTTTATCTTATTAAAAAAAATTAAATTTTCTCTTTGATATTTGAATTACTCTTTTTCCCTTATTTATCATGAAGCGAATTCTTGTTTTGATTGGTTGACTAAATTTGGTTGCTAACTGGTGTCTTTTTAGAATTTTGATGGTTTGAATTTACCTCAACCTGTTAGAGGTATGTTTATTATGGATAAGTCAGGTTTGCATTATATTAGGAACTATTGATGTGGTTTTTTTTCTCCCATATTTGGCTTTATTTTGGTTTTATTTTGCTATATCATGGTTGTTTCTATTCTCCCTTTTGATGTTGTTGAATTGTTTGGTTTTGTGGTGCTTTCTCTAGTGGTTGTTGGGTTGGGCAATTTTTCAGGTAGTTCTGGATTTTTGCTTTGGTCTTACTTGTTGCTACATTTTGTTAGACCTTGGGAGGTCCTTGGAGTCTATGTGTCTTGATGGGGTGCTTGATGCCAGCATCTTTTCTGGAGATTTTGTGTTTGTTGTGCTATGCATCCTACTTGTTCTCATTATGGCTTACTAGGATGGGCCCTTACACCCATTGGGATCTTATGCTCTTAGGATTTTATTTTTATTTTTGAATATAGCTCTTTTAGTGTTAGAGAGCTTTTGATCCCTCTAATTACTTGTTAACTTTTTACATATATTAACATGTAGGACCTTTTACGGGTTATAATAAAAAAAAATAAAAACCCCCTCAAAGTGGTTCATTTAAATTTTATATGTTTGATAAGATATAAATACCAAACATAAAAATGATAATCTAAATTTGTGACTTGAGATGGTGGTCATAATAGGAGTTTATGTTGATTCAGGTGCATGTCCTGCGATGTTAGTTCCTAATTCTATTGATGGACTTATTAAAGAATCAAGGTTTTGGGTTTATTTAAGATACACTCTTTACAGAATAATAGTTTTATGCCTTACTTGTAAAAATTAAAAGCCATTTGTTAAGACTGATTTAATCTTATAATAACTTCGAAACATTTATTTGTTTAAAATTTTGAATTTTGTAATCCTCCTATTAAAATCATTAAAAAAATTTCTATAATTTGAGATTAAATTATTCTTTTAATGTGAGGATTTTAGATCAAAGGAATGTTTTGCTTCAAGTTCATAATGTGGACAATAAATCTAATCTCATCACATAACAACACATGAACAACAAAAGGAAAATAATAACTAAAGCCACCAATAATAAATCCATAATTAAGAAACCTCGTTATAAGCATCAGCTACAAAAAGACTTAAAATACACAAAAGATATGTTCCACCATCAAATCCTAAAGTCAAATATGACAGGAAAAATAGATCAGATCCACTGGACACCATCAACAAATGCAAAAAAGAATTAACGACAAGAAAAGAAAAAGAGCACATAATAAAAACAAGAGGAAAATAGATGGACTACTACAAAATCAATACATAAGCATTCCAAATCACAATGAAACACTGAAGCAATGCAAACCCACAAAAATTCCAAATCCACAACAAAAAATTAGAAAAACCCTAAGCCAAATGAATTAGCCAACCAGAACCTAAAAGGAAAATAGTAAAAAGCAAGGACTAACAAGAGCTAAATGACAAATACCAAAACATCAAAAAGAAAAAGAAATCAGTAACCAAAGCAAGGATGTTTAAACCAACATAGGAAAGTGCTACAACTAAAGTGTACCAACCATTGAAAAATAGGAATCATGGAGAACTAGTCAAATAGGAAGCAACAACTACCATTTCAAACAACAAGGCCCCAATATAAATTATTAAACTCATATTATTTTCATAATTGAAAATAAACAAACACAACAAGGCATACAATATAAGGTGACAATATTGCTCATAGAAGCATACATACAAACCAAATTATTCAACACACAACATTACCACTCACAACTCCCACATAATAGCTTACATAGTAACATTCATAGAAGACAGGGTAGAAAAAAAAAGCAAAAAGTGTAATATAAATGCTATTGATATAGAAGATGACTTTGAAGCGTAAAGGTATCCTTCTTTATTTGCCAGCAAATATAAGGTGGCCTCGAGGAAGAAAATGGCAAATGGGTTCAGTCCCTGGCTTCACCTTCAAAATTTTGAACCCTAGATAATGTGGTGACCATGCTGATGTGTCAATATGGCATATTGCTGCAGTATCCACCACCACTCCATTTGATCCCAAGAGATGCACCTTATATGCTTCAACATTTGTTATTTTGTGGCAATAATATACTGCTTTCGGGTATGACTCAGGATGACAAGACACCAATGCTTTTGCTTCCTACACATACATATATTTAATATTTCAATATACAACTATACATATCTTTATGTTTAAATATGAATCTTCTTAATTAAAACTCACCACGTGCATGTCTTCTTTCGATCGGATCAAATATACCTGCTTCGGTACCACTAATTGGTGAACACCACCTTTCACAGTCGTCTCAATGACATTCACATCTCTGTTGCCTATCTCAGCCTTGACAAAATCCACCATGGCTTCCAATGATGTGACACAATGCTTTATCTCTCCCTCAATAGGCTTTTCTTCACACTCTTCCAATGTTTGCTGGATGGCTTTGGCTTCCAGTGAACCCCATGTGATGTTGAAGAGGCCGAGGATTTCAGTGAGTTTGGTGGAGGAGAAAGGCGTGGCCTTGGCCATCTCGACTGAAAGGAAGGGATGCATTGAGATTGACTTGCTGAGTTCGAGAGTCATCTTTGTGCCAACTTTAAGGCTATCCTTTAGGAAGAAGAGCTGAGCAATGGGGTCGTTGTGGGTTTGCGTCTCTTTGTTTATGCAATTGTAGCAGCCGAAAGATTTCACATTATTTTGGCCTCTTTCAAGCTTGAATGAATTCATTTCTTTCTCTGAAATTAGCTTTTTAACTAACTAATTATAGCTTTTGATGTTTTATCCTTTGATGAATGAGAAGTTTACCATGAGGATGAAGATGGCGAAAAGCAGGAAATCCATGAGATCAAAGCTACTGCAATGAGTGTTTCAAATTGAAAGACTATGAATGATTTAGTAACTCTATAGTACTCTCTGGACCTTCTTATATAGCAGCCAATGGATGGATATAATTGTGTAAATGAGTCTAGTTGAGATCTAGTCACTTCAGGTTTGAGCTTTATTAGTTAATTGGACTCACTAATGAGCTCATAATGATAAAGATTCCAATATATATTAAGTTAAATTTTACATAGAATGCAAGATGATTCCTTCTCATACAAGACAATTCTAAATAACTGTATGATCATGACGTTATATAAAATTTACATTTTAAATTGTTTTGGTAACTATCTTACAAAACATAAATAAAAACTATGAAAAATATTAATAATTAGCAAGCCGTTCAAAAAAAAAAGAAAAAATTTAGAATCATTCTTTTGAATAACTTTTATTATTACTAAAATAAATATTAAAAAAGCAGAAACTTTCAAATATGAACTTTAGCCAAATCTTTCAAATCTGAACAATAGAATATACAAAACGACTTGACATTAACAGTGCATAAACAGAACCCATTCTTCATTTTGAGTTATTAATTGTTTCGCAAATTTTGAAATTAAAATCTTTTAATTCTTTTTTAAATTTAAATCTACTGAAAGTTGGAATCACAAAAATAAAAAAAAAAAATTTTATGGTGAACATGATGAGCATATAAAAACATACCATAATAAAAATTATAAACAAAAAACATAGATACCATAGTGAACATGATGAGCATATAAAATAATACATATTTTTTTTCATTTGCTAAAATGCATACGTAAATGTGCTTGGAGTTGCGTTTGAGTCTGGCATCACTTGAGATAAAATTTGAACTCATACTGAAAGTCTTGCTAGTCCTTACCATTCAAAAAATTTCTAGGCTTACCTTCAAAGTAATAGCTCCTTCATCCAGCCGTTATATTAAAAATAAGTAAAGATGCATTCTTTATAAATAGAGTTCAAAAATTTGTGCCCCTATCAGGATTTAGTAAAGATCAATTATTATAAAGCATTAGCATAAGACCAAAAATTGTAAGGCATTAACCATAATTGAAAAAGAGTAGTTTTTGGATCTTCCTTAGGATTTAATAAATTTAACCTAAGATAATCCATCAGTAATGCATATTGAGAACAATTTATTCGATAACACTACCGCAAAGTAGCGTATTACCGGTGAATATTCTGACGGAAAATTCAGAATTTTCAGACGGTTTTCCGGAGAAGACGTTTTCGACTGTAAATAGAGATTCAGAATAAAAAACTCCATAAAAAAAAAATTCGTCGGAAAAATTTTCCGGCGAAAGTAGGCCGCCGAAAATATTTTCCGGTGGTTATCTGCCGAAAAAACTCGGTCAGAGTAACTAAAAAGGAATTTTAAAAAACATTTCCTTCTGTTGACCCGCTCTCAAGTGGCCCCCGTTTTGGCCAGGCCTGAGGCACCACCTCTGCTTAGTGTTGGCTCCCCTGCAAAGCCTGACCCGCCCTAGTTGGCCCGCATGCATGCTATCCAGCCCACATGGCCGAACCCAGCCTGCTGTGGCTCGCCCGCGTACACGACCCACCTGCTTGAGCCTCGCACCCGCGTCGCCTAGCCCGATGACCCACTAGCTGGCCCGCGCACATGGCGCGTGATGGCCGTGGGATTCAATGTGGAGACCAGCCAAGTACTCCACCACTTTGCTATTGATGAAAATAAGTTATTAAGTTGATAATAAGTTAAAGTAAGTTTTAAAATTTTTAATAAATAAATTATTAATTTAATAACTTTTTATTTTATTTTAAAATATTAAATTTAGTAACTAATTAAAATTGCTATTTTAATAAATATTATATTCATATTTTTTAAACGAGTCGACTCTCGAGCTAAAAAGTCAGTCAGGACATGCTCAAGCTTGGCTCATTGCACATTGAGCTCAGCTTATGAGCCATTCATGAAGTCGAGCTCAAGCCCACTCACAAGTTTGCTTGACTCACTTACACCCCTAGATGGAAAATATAATAAAAAATAAAATTTTCTTGTTTTTAGTTGTTGCTTTGATGTGGAAGAATTTTTCAAATAATTTTTTTTAACTCATTATGACACATATAGGGGTGTAAGTGGGCTAAGTCGACTCCTGAGCTAGCTTGAACTATACTCACAAATGAGCTCATAATTATAAAGATTCTCATATATATTTTAAGTTAAATTTTAAAAAGAAAATATGATTCCTTCTTATACAAGACAATTCTAAACATCTGTATGATCATGAAATTTTGTAATATAAAAGTAAAATTTTAAATTATTTTGGTAACTATCTTACAAAATATAAATAAAAACAATGCAAAATATTAATAATTAACCTGCCGTTCAAAAAATAAAAATTTTGAATCATTTTTTGGATAACTTTTATTATTACTTAACATAATATTAAAAAAGAGCAGAAACTTTGAAATATGAACATTAGCATAATCTTTAAAACCTGAACATTTGACAATACAAAATGGTTTGACATGAAGAATACATAAACAAAACCAATTCTTCGTTTTGAATTATTAATTGCTCAGTAAAATTTTAAAATAAAATATTTCTGATTCTTTATTAATTTTAAATCTGCTTACAGTTGGTATCACAAAAGAAAAAAAAAAAAAAAATTAAAGGTCCTCATAGGATACAACAACATACAATAATAAAAAACAAAAACACAAAACATACATACCATATTTATCATTTCCTAAGTAGCATATGTAGAGGTGCTTGGAATTGCATATTATTTGGATGGAGTAAAATAATGTATCGATAATTCATGGAATTACCGAAAGTACACATATTAGAAATTGTTTGTAAAAAGTTAATAATTTGATTGTCATAGGATGTTTTCTCTCTGATCATGCATTGAAAATAAGTAAAGATGTATTCTTTAAAAATAGAGTTAAGAAATTTGTGCCCCTACCAAGATTGAGTGAAGATCAATTATTATGAAGCATTAGCAACCAAAGATTGTAATAAGGCATTAATCAAATTTGAAAAGGAGTAGTTTTTGGATCTTCCTTATTAAAGGATAAATTTAACCTATGATAATCCATCAGTAATAATGCATATTGAGATGAATGTTTTCGTTAACTTATTTGTGGGAGAAAAAATTTGAAAACCCAAGATAACTTAAAGGTGTGAAGAAATTTGAAGTAGTAGATTAATAGAAGAGATTTAGAACTCCAAGAAATAAATAGTAAGAAAACTATAATGCTTAAGCCCAAATATTTCACCATATTTGATTAGGAAAGAGAAGCAATTGAGTTGGTTCAAAAACTAAATATGCAAGATGGATATACATTATAAATAAGAAGACATGTCAATATGAGGACAAGAAAGTTATTTGAAATGACGAACCATGATTGTTTTAACTTCATGGATTGTTTATTATTAATTATATTTAATACTTTATCGAAAAGAATTTGTAATCTTTTAATTCAATTGAGCTTTTCTAATGATAAGTGTTCTAGTCATTTAAGTGATGATTCTTTCATGCATAATAAATTGAATATGCCCAATATTTTTTAAAAATTATAAAGAATATTTTCAAATGATTTTTTTTTACTCGATATGACACATATATGGGTGTAAGTGGGCTAAGTCGAGTCATGATCTTGCTTGAATTTTTTTTTTTGGTTAAAATCCTCAGAGGGGCCTACACGTTAATTCAAAAAAATGGTTACAAGGTCCTTAGAAGGATCCTCCAGCTCGCTACTGCTCGAAAGAGCTACAAGAGAAATTAAAATAAATCTTAAGAGTCGGTGGATCCTTTTTCTAAGATTACAAAAGGAACATAAATAAAAGCTCGGGCTGCAAGTAGAAAGCACCCAAAAAAGGAAGAGCAGATCAATACCGTTTAGCACAATCTTCCTGCAAAAAAGGTAATCAAAAATTGATGGCCTCTGAGAAATACAAAAAGAGCGAACCTTGCAGTCATTGAAGCTCCATAACACTGACGTGAAAATTTTCCTGCAAAGAACACTCCAAAAAGAAATGTTAGAGCAGTAGTAGTTAATGCAAAATTTAGATCAGTCAATATGAAAACTATTGAAAGACATGTCTCCAGAAACCAATATAAGCCCCTACAAATTATGATCTTGCTTGAATTAGACTAACTAATGAGCTCAAAATTATAAAGATTCCCATTAATATTTTAAGTTAAATTTTACATAGAATGCAAGATGATTCCTTCTTATACAAGAAAATTCTAAACATTTGTATGATCTTGATTTTTTATAATATAAAAGTTAAATTTTAATTTTTTCTTGGTAACAATCTTACAAAATATAAATATAATATTTGGAAAATATTAATAATTAGATTGTAAAAAAAAGTTTTGAATCATTATTTTTGGTAACTTCTATTAATAAACTGAGTATTAGAAAAAAAAAGCATAATCTTTCAAATATGTACATTTGCAGAATCTTGCAAAAGTAGAACAGTGTTTCAAACAATAGTGGAATCTCATAGGTTCCCTCCCTTTTTCCTCTTTCCGATTCTTTCGTCTATATTATCTTTTACCCGTTGAGTTGCAGTTGTGGATTTTTTTTTCAAAAAAAAACTAAGGATTATATCTTTCCACTTGAGGCATAACACTGTGAACTAGGATACCTTGCAACTGCAACTTCACTTAATTCAGATTTGTAAAGAGCTTGTC